TCTCTCTCTCTCTCTCACACACACACACACACACACACTATCTCTCTCTCTCTCACACACACTATCTCTCTCTCTCTCACACACACACACACACACACACTATCTCTCTCTCTCACGAACACACACTATCTCTCGCTCTCTCTCTTACACACATACACACACACACTCTCTCTGTCTCTCTCACACACACACACACACACATGTATCTAGGTGGGACTGGCCAATGATACTTGATTGAACTATTTACAACTGCGTGCTCAGAGATATTTGGGACGGTCTCCCGTGACTCACCCGTAACCTGCCAGGAAGCCCAGGCTGGGAGGACTGACTTTATCACTGAAGACGTAAAGCTGCAGTCCTGCCTCTCTCTTCTTCTCCAGCTTTGACTCGGATCTCATCTGGGTCTTCCCTGCCGACGGCTGGTCCACAATCCACCACTCCTGAATGTCCTCCGTGCCGTTGTGAGACCTCTCCAAGTCCAGCTGGATGCTCTTATAACCCTCATCTGGCACAGAGGGAGTGATGAGATGTGAGAGTTACAGCTGACGTCAGTATTCATGGAGAAAGTCATCCTGATTCTGCATTACCTGAATAAAGCTGACCGACTGGTTTGGCGTTTGAGTCACTCGGTGCTCGAATAAAGCAGGGAAACACTTGCTCTATGACCCTGTGAATGAGAAATGGACCATAAATATATAAGCATTAATATAAATATGAAATGCATCTTTTATGTGTTAAATTTGTACTTACACAGGTTTATTTCTGGTTCCATTGAGTAACGCTATCAGCTCCTGTCTAGTGTTCATGTCCAGGTAAGTGATGTGTTTGTCCACTGCAAACTCAGCCTTTGCTCCCAGACTGAGATTCCTGCACAAGAGCAAAGTATTATGGGATATATTTGATGTGCATCAGTACTACACTAGCAGAAATTACCATTACAATGGTCTTGGACATGGTACATGGCACTATGGTATTCTTTGATGTACCTTGGTTACACTATGTATAGTACCATTTCAAATGGATAAAAAATCACATTAAATTCACATAAAAGTGACAGTAAAGACATTTTTTAAATATTTATATTTCATATAAACGCTGTTCTTTTGAACTTTCTGTTCATCTGTGAATCCTGAAAAATAAAATGTATCACGCTTTCCACAGAAATATTGTGCAGCACAACTGTGTTCAACATTGATAATAATCAGAAATGTTTCTCGAGCAGCAGATCAGCATATTATACTGATTTCTGAAGATCATGTGACACTGAAGACTGGAGGAATGATGCTGAAAATACAGCTGCGCATCACAGAAATACATTACAGTTTAACAGAGATTCACATAGAACACAGTTATTTGAAATTAGAATAATATTTCACTGTTTTTACTGTATTTTTAATCAAATAAATGCAGCCTCAGTGAGCAGAAGAGACTTATTGACCAAAAATTAATTGAAAAAAACTGAAGTCATATATGTGACCCTGGAGCACAAAACCAGTCATAAGTGTACATTTTTTTCTGAATAAATAAGCTTTCCATTGATGTATGGTTTGTTAGGATCGGACAATATTTGAAAATCTGGAATCTGAGGGTGCAAAAAAATCTAAATATTGAGAAAATCATCTTTAAAGTTGTTCAAATGAAGTTGTTAGCAATGCATATTACTAATCAAACATTAAGTTTTGATATATTTACAGTAGGAGATTTACAAAATATCTTCATGGAACATGATCTTTACTTAATATCCTAATGATTTTTGGCATAAAAGAGAAATGTATAATTGTGACCCATACAATGTATTGTTGGCTATTGCTACAAATATCCCCCAGCGACTCAACACTGCTTTTGTGCTGCAGGGTCACATATAGTATATATATCTAAAAGTGAGGTGGCCAGTGCAGGTGATGTACCTCTGGATGCTCCAGGACATGGTGACAGGGAACTGGTCCTCTTTGCTCAAGACGTCCATCAGGTTCTTTCTGCTGGGAGGACTGATGGTCCAGAGAGAGTTCGAGCTTCCTTCCAGCTCTGCCACAGTCACGTCCTCCGCCGTGTACGCCTCCAAGAACTGCAGTGCACTCTGGGAAAGAGATGGAGCTGCACTTGACACACTGCACAACAACTAAAGAGTGGAGTTTCTCCAAACCATCACACCACAGACCGGCGCTGACGAGTGACTTACAGAATTGTGTCTGTATGAATTCATGAAGCTGATGAAATCTCTGTCAGTGACGTCCTTCAGCTGATTCTGCTGCGCACTCATAGTGAAGATGGGCTAGACAGCACACACATATCTGGTCAAACTCTTATTTCAGTTTCAGTCATGTGCTATTCAAGTTTTTGTGAACAGTGCTGCGTTGATTCCAAAAAATAAGTTACTTCAGTAACAGTTCCTTCTGGACAGAAATATTTCACACCTGGTAGACTTTTTCATGTTTCTTCGTGTAATGCAGGGATTCCCAAAAGTGTTGTCAGCCAAACCCCGCTGACATAAAATATTTACTTGAAATATCTCTGAGGAAGTTCATATTTCAATAATTTAACAACACATTAATGTTACATCTAAAATTACATTTAGGTAAACAAAATATTTCTATTTTTAGTGTTCAAGTGTTAAAACACTTTATTTATATTTTGTGTAATATATGTGTTGTAATGTAATATTTGATGCATTTTATGATGTTGATATGGAAATGCATAAATTATTATATAGTTTTTATTAAGTTTTTGATATTTTAGCACTTCAACTAAATGAAAATGAGAAATGTTGCCTTTGCATTTAGCTAAGTTTAAGGCTTTTTAACATTTTATTTCCGCTAATATGTATTTCATATGGAAGCTTGTTTATGCCACAGAATAAAAAAATAAATAAAACTTTTCACACTCCCACATTTGAGTTTATATGTCAAAAAAGTCAGAATTGCAAGATTTAAAGTGAGAATTGTGAGAAAAAAAGTCAAAATTGTAAGATAAAAATGACATTTTTAATGTTTTATTCCACGGCGAAAACAAAACAAGTCAGAATTCTGTTTATATTTCGCAATTCTGAAACAGTCCAAATTGTGAAAGCAAAGTCTGAATTGAGAGATAAAAAGTTGCAATTACCTTTTTTGCTTTATTTTTTAATTCCGTGGCAGAAATGGGCTTCCATAATTTCAATTCTAAAACGAAATAGTTCCGGTGCTTGACTCTGATTGGCTGAGCCGCGTTCGAAGCTGTTGTGAATGACGCTACAAAGTAACACACACCTTTGTTTACGTCTGTGTGTTGCTCGGCAACCACTTTGTAGCAACCACAACTGTTTCTGAGGAGCTACATTGTTTGGTGGAAGAATACTGTGTTTATTAATATCATTACTCTTTATTTGCTCCGTTTTATTTTGTGAAACCGTATTACGTACACGGAATAGCCGTTTTATAACAGCAATAAGCCCCGTGAAGCCGTGGATGACAGTGAATTTATAACAGCTATTATAAATTCACTGTAAACCATGCCTTCACGGGGCTTTATTAATGACTTTGTTGTTTTACGTCTCGCAGATCCGTCACTATAAGCAGCAGTTTTGCACACACCTGAAAGCCGCCCAGTGTGATGGTGAGAGACACGTCCAGCGGTTTGTTGACCACTCCAGCCACAGATTTGACCAGAGACATGAAGAGCAGAGGAAACCAGACGATACAGATGAGCAGCATCACGATCATCCCCCCCATCCCGTACTTCACCACCTTCTTCTTCTTCTGTCCTCGAGGCTGAGGGTACCTCTGAGAACACACAAACACACCACCGTGAATCCTGCTTCTGAGTGCTGCTCTGACAAACACTGGCTGGACGTCTTCTCACTTTCTCCGACTCCCTCCAGCACTTGAGCACGAAGATGTGAGCGTAGATGTCCTCCACACAGATCCAGCTGGACAGACTGAGCGTGGTGTCGGTCCAAACCCAGTCCATCACCGCCCGCAGCTCCGTCAGGAACGGCACCAACCGGAACCTGAGCACCATTCAGAAAGATGAGACTCGGTCAGGACCCCAGCACTTCTGACAAACCCCAAATGAACTGTGTATATATTACAACATTATGCCTAGTACTGACAAAATGTGCAAATCTAGGCATTCTTTGGCATGAAGTAATAAGAAGCTGGCATTGCAGTGATTTTATGATGGCTAAGTAAACATGATTTGAAGCAGAGTGCTTAAAACCCTCTGAACCGCGGTAAAATCACTGTATGGCCTTAGTTGGCCTACAGCTTTTATGAACAAAAACATCAGCAATATTAAAAAGCTGCACAATAAATCATGTTTTACTCGTGATCATGTTTTCTGAGAATTCTAATGTAACAAATTTAATAAATAAAATGACAATAATCTTGATTACCAAATCTCCTGCTCATCTAGGCTGCATTTATTTGATCATAAATACAGTAAAAACTGTAATATTGTGAAATATTATTCTAATTTAAAACAGCTGTGTTCTGTGTGAATCTCTGTTAAACTTGATCTTCAGAAATCAGTATAATATGCTGTTCTGCTGCTCGAGAAACATTTCAACAATGTTGAGCTGCCCAATATTTTTTGTGGAAACTGATACATTTTATTTTTATCAATTTAATGCATCCTTGATGAATGGAATTATTATACATACTTACTCTAAACTTTGTATATACATTAGCATTGATATATTTGTGGTCATCCACATGAAGATTGACTTTAATATCCTGTAATGCTCTGCGATCACAGGCTGAACACACTGTAATGTGGCGGTGTAATGAGTCCAGCTGTATTTCTTACCCTTGGAAGAGGAAGAGATTGAGGTAGTTATAGCTCTTGGTCAGGAAGTTTCCCAGCACGCGAGTGGGGTAACCGCAGCGGATCTGATAGGCTGACAGACCGAAGTAGATGCACTTCACGAAGTACCAGAGCTGGGCAACTGTGTTCTGACTGAAGCGCCTAAATCAAATCCAATCACATGTTTGATGAGCCTCGAGCTTCTTAAACGGGTTCAATGATGACAGTATTCGTCATTTACCTCTCGGTGACTCCTGGGAGAATGAAGAACATCCAGAAGTGAATCCCGAAGACCAGGATGACCTGGAAGATGACCTTCCCCATCACAGTCTTCCTCAGGTACAGCGCACGGTCCACCACCATCGTCCCAAACTGGATGAGCACCATCACCAGGAAGGCCTCGGGAACCTGATCCTCTGACAGAGAGGAAGTGATGTCAGCCGCAGCAGAGTGTTTCTGTGGAGAAACCGGTTTCACTTCAGTTGTATTGCACTTGGATGGTGTTTAATAATTGTATTTTTTTGTTCCAACGTCAGCATGATTATTGTGAATGATTCATCCATGCATGATTCATTTTTTTTTGTATTTTGAACTAATAACTTTTAATCAAAATGTCACAATTCAAATTTATGAAATTACAGGCTTGTCCACTTTCTTACAATAGACTACAAACTCACACTCGTTTTTTTAATGCAACACCCACATTTATAAAAACTCCGTTACACTTGGATGTTCATCACAACATGGAACAAAATATCTGTCCCTATTTCCGTTTCATGCCAATTTTAACTGCTTTTTCAATCAGGATTTCTTAAGTTAAAGTAAGAATGACTTTACCCAAAAATGAAAGTTTGCTGTAAATGCACCCATCCCAGATGAGGATGAGTTTGTGTCTTCATCAGGTTTAGAGAAATGTAGCACTGCATCAGTGTCTCAGCAATGGATGCTCTGCAGTGAATGCCAAACTCATCTACATCTTGGATGGCCTGAGGTTGAGCACATTATCAGCAAACATTCATTTTTGGGTGAACTATTCCTTTAAGCTCATGTGTTTGAGCAGGTGAAGCTCTACAAACCCCGAAAGCCCAA